AGTCCTTCCATTTATAAAAGTATTATGTAACTCCGCTATTTTGTAATAAAATTAGTTTTTTTAAATATTAATAATATGTAAAATAAAATAATCATATTTTGTTATTGAAACATATTTTTATTTAGGTTAAGTACCCTTTTTGATCCCTCTATTATAGGAAAAAGCTCCCTTTTAGTCCCTGTACCGAAAAAATCTCTTTTTTGATCCTTACTGTTTACAAATCCGACTCCATTTTAGTCATTCCGTTAAATTTTGGCTAATGTGACAGGTTAATTAACGAAAAATTCTATTTTTTTCTTTACTTAAATTACGTGTGAAATCCATCTGGCAAAACTCGATGACCTAGCCAAATTTTTTATCTTTAATTACCAATTTACCCTCATTTTCTTCCTCATCCTCTCCTTCCTTCAGCTTTTTTTTTTTTCTTTTTTTTCTTACCTTTAGGCGAACCCAGGAGCTTGGGTTCGTTGCGATGAACCCAGCTCATGGATTTGTTGCGAACCCAAGAGCATGGGTTCATCGCGAACCCACAAGCTGGGTTCACGACGAACCCACGAGCTTGGGTTCGCCATTGCGAACCGACAAGTTGGATTCATTGCAAACCCAGGCTAGGTTCGTTGCGAATCTAGGCTAGGTTTGTTGCGATGAACCCTGCTCGTGGGTTCGCAATGAACCTAAGAGCGTGGATTCGCGACGAACCCAGAAGCGTGGGTTCGTGATGAACTCAGCTCCTAGGTTCGTCGTGAACCCAGTTGCTTGGGTTCATCGCGAACCCAAGCTCTTGGGTTCGAGACATGGTCCTATTGTGGTAATTTGCAGCACTTCAAGCACAGAAAAATGTTAGTTGGTAAGATTGGATTGATTTGGTTAAATGATTTTGTGATCAATTGAACACCAAGACTTGGGTTAATTAACTGTTTTTAACAGGTTCTTCCAAGAAGGAAGTTGAATAGGTTTTGTTGGTTCATGAGATGAGTTTTAGTCCTTTTGGTTGAACAAATGCATTACTCGTGGGTACCCAACGGTGCGCAATGAACCCAGCTCTTGGGATCACGGCGAACCCACGAGTAGGGTTCATTGCGACAAACCTAGCTTGGGTTCACAACGACCCTAGCCTGGGTTTGTGATGAACCCAGCTCGTGGGTTCGTCGTGAACCCAACTTGTGGGTTCGCGATGAACCCAGGCTGTTGGGTTTGCGACGAACCTAGGCTCTTGGGTTTATGACGAACCCACGAGCTAGGTTCATCACGATGAACCCAATCTTTCTAATGGCTCAGAACATTCTAGCTTTGCTGATAGATTTATGGTGTTGCTTGCAATAACATTTTTCAGGACACTTGGAAAGATTGGAATAACTTACCTTTAGGCACCTTGGTTCTTTTCTTTTCTTTTACCTCTAGGCGAACCCAGGAGCTGGGTTCGTCCTGAATCCAGGCATCTGGGTTCATCGCAAACCTGCGAGTTGGGTTCCTTGCGAACCCAGGCTCTTGGGTTCGCCTGGAGGTAAAAGGAAAAAAAGAAAAAAAAAAAAAAAAAAGGGGCCGAAGGACATGGAGGGTGACGTGGCGGGTGTCATAAGTCCACGTAAACATCTTTTACACGTTGGCATACTCACATCAACTATTTCAGTTAAGTTAACGTGCCACGTAAGCAAAATTTAACGGAAGGACTAAAAAGGGGCTGAATTTGTGAACAGTAAGGACCAAAAAGGGGATTTCTTCGGTATAGGGACTAAAAAAATGCTTTTTTCTATATTAGAGGGACCAAAAATGGTATTTAACCTGTTATTTACAAATCATATTAATATATAATTAAAGTTAAAAAATTAAATTAATATTTGTAATTAAAATTTAAGAACTAAATTGGTATTTGTTTTCAGACTTTAGGGATTAAATTAGTATTATTTTCAAGGTTTAACGATTATTTTGATACTAGAAATAAAAATTTAGGGATAATTTTGGTATTTTATTAAGTTGAGAGATAATTTTGATATAAATCTAAAAGTTAAGGGACCAAATTGGTATTTTAACCTTAAATTAAAAATGAAATGTAAAGGCCACAGTTCTCTTCTGGTTCTTCAGTTTGCCATAAGATTTTTACCCAAAGAAAAATCTAAAAATCCCTGAGTTCTACCATAAACCCTGCTTCCTCTGGAATTGACATTCATTAACAGTTGTTGTAATTCTCAACTGTTGTTCCATGTAATCCTCACATACCCGTTTGCGGAGTAGCGATGTTTCTGAAATTTCAGCCAGGCAATAGCAGCTTCCACATCCTGTGCTCTACCAAAACCTCACCACCCAGCACCGGAGGAGTTTCAGTTTTTCCACCGGAAAAATTCGAATCCATCAACAAACACAGACAACCCACAATTCTTGAGGTTGCAAATGGAGGAGGCCCAAGGCTAAACGGAGTGAAAAAACAGAGTCTTGATAAAACAAGTGATGTTCATGGTGGTGGGTTTAGGCGTTCGGAAAGAATCCCAGACAGGGAACAGAGAAAAACCAGAACGGATGGTGGTGGAATTGATAATGGAAGAACTAATTCTGGCGGGAGAAGTGGGAAATGTACGGTGGAGAAAGTGCACGCCAAGTGTTCGACGAAATGGGTCTCATATGGAGGTTGTATTCCGGCGATTTTGGAGGCTTTGGATAGGAGAAATGATTTGGAGGAGGCTTTGAGGCCTTGGGAAGAAGGGCTAAGTAGCAAGGAAAGGAGCATTATTTTGAAGGAGCAATCAAGCTGGGAAAGGGCTTTGGGGATTTTTGAATGGTTCAAGAGAAAAGGGGGTTATGAGATGAACGTAATTCATTACAACATTATGCTTAGGATTCTTGGGAAAGCTCATAAATGGGGCCATATTCAGAGTTTGTGGGATGAAATGAATGTTGAGGGAATTGCACCCATTAATTCTACCTATGGTACACTGATTGACGTTTATCACAAAGGCGGCCTAAAATATGAGGCACTTTGTTGGCTTGGAAGGATGAACAAGCAAGGGATGGAGCCAGATGAGGTGACAATGGGAATTGTGGTGCAATTGTATAAGAAAGCGGGTGAGTTTCAAAAAGCAGGGGAATTTTTTAAGAAGTGGTCAAGAAATGGATCTTTGAAGTGTGAGGGAAGTACAACAATTAGCATGTTGAAAAGTGGTTCACAAGGTATTTTTCCTGTAAGTCCATGTACATATAATACGTTGATTGACACATACGGGAAGGCAGGACAGCTTAAAGAAGCATCTGAAACATTTGCAATGATGCTCAGAGAAGGGATTACTCCGACAACCGTCACTTTTAATACAATGATCCACATTTGCGGCAACCATGGTCTGCTAGAAGAGGTTTCTTTGTTGATGAAGAAGATGGAGGAGCTTCGATGCCCACCTGATACCAGAACATATAATATTCTCATTTCCCTTCATGTTAAGCGTGGTGATATACAAATGGCAACAGCCTACTTTACAAAGATGAAGCAGATCCGCCTTGAACCTGATAACATAAGTTATCGGACCCTCCTGTATGCATACTCTATAAGGCATATGATTGTTGAAACTGAAGGCCTTATACAAGAGATGGATGAAAGGGGCCTTGAGGTTGATGAATATATACATTCAGCACTTACGAGAATGTATATAGAAGCTGGGATGGTTGAGAAGTCATGGCTATGGTTTTGGAGATTTCATCTTGCTGGGAATATGAGTTCAGAGTGCTACTCTGCCAATATTAATGCATATGGGGAGCGGGGACATGTCTTGGAAGCTGAGAAAGTCTTCATCTGCTGCCAGGAGGAAAAGAAGCTCACTGTTCATGAGTTTAATGTAATGATAAAAGCCTATGGGATAGGAAAGAATTATGACAAAGCATGTCAGTTGTTTGATAGTATGGAGAGTCATGGGGTTGTTCCGGACAAATGCAGCTATAATTGTCTCATACAGATTTTGGCTAGTGCAGACCTGCCACATTTGGCAAAACGCTACCTGAGGAAGATGCAGGAATCAGGACTTGTGAGTGATTGTGTCCTATATTGTGCTCTGATCTCAAGCTACGTAAAATTAGGGCAACCAGAAACGGCTGAAGAACTATACAGGGTGATGATCCAATGTAATGTGGAGCCAGATGTTGTTGTCTATGGAGTACTGATCAATGCTTTTGCTGATCTTGGAAGTGTTAAAGAAGCTACCAGATATCTTGATGCAATGAGAAGTGCAGGATTGTCTGGTAATACTGTTATTTACAATTCATTGATCAAGCTTTATACAAAAGTTGGTTACCTGAAAGAAGCAGTTGAGATTTACAAACTGCTTCAATCAACTGAGGGACATCCTAATGTGTATTCCTCGAATTGCATGATTGATCTCTACAGTGAACTATCTATGGTTAGACAAGCAGAAGAGCTATTTCAGAACTTAAAGAGAAAAAGGGTCGCAAATGAATTCACATATGCAATGATGCTGTGCATGTATAGAAGAAATGGGAGATTCACTGAAGCCACTCAAATTGCAAAACAGATGAGAGAACTGGGGCTTCTAACTGATTTGTTGAGTTATAATAATGTGATCGGATTGTATGCTACAGATGGAAGATTCATGGAGGTTGTTCGAACCTTCAAGGAAATGATAGATGCTGCCGTTCAACCTGACGGCTGTACATTCAAATCACTTCGCTCTGTTCTAGTGAGATGTGGAGTTCCAAAGCCAGCTGTTCACGAGCTGGAAGCAAGAAGGAAGAAGGATCCTAAGAGTGGTTTGCAAGCGTGGATGTCCACACTCTCTTCAGTGGTAGGAGCTGATGAATACTACAACTACGATGCTTAAAGATTCTTTCTGCAAAAAGCTAATCGGGTTTGAGTTCATCATCCATATACCATAAAAGCAGAAGAAATTCTTGAAGAACTTGGTCTGATTTTAGGAGATGAACAATAATTTTTCCCTTGATACTGTTTTCTGCTGTTGTTTCAGTAAAGTTGGAAGCTTGGAGCACCTTGTAAATTAAAGATGTAAAATTGTACATGAAAGTTCAGGACTTTCTGCCTCTGGAATGAATACAATGTTCCCATTGCTGGAATGGTTTACTTTCAATTTCTACTTCATATTTCTGAGAATTCATGCAGACAGTCAAGAAATTAACTAACAGAAACTTCAATTAAACTAAAATTAACCATGAATTAATTTCGTAGAATATTTTACAATCAATCAAAGCCAAATCAAATCCTTATACATGTCTAGAAACAAAACACAGCATTGTACAATATAGCTTCTACTTTACTCCATGGCATCACTGGGCCAAGAAACAATAATATCTCCAAGTTCTGTCTCCAAATCTCTCCACCGGCCGTCATGGAACTCTGCTCCACCCTCCGCCATCTTCACTTCCACCAACAAGAATGACTTCGCCACCTCTGTCACCTCCACCACCAACCCCACCCTCCCTTTCCTCAACCCAACAACCCCCTTTTTCCCACTTTCCACCTTGTACCCCAACCTCTCCCCTACCTCCCTCACCCTCTCCACCACGCTCTCAACCGAGGCTGTTGAGGTATATCTCTTCTCCTTCCTTTTCTCCCCCTGGAAAAGCCCTGACAAGTCCAGCCCCGACGACAGAGATATTATGTCGAAAGCATTCACCTCCGAACAGACGATTTCATGTTTCGACTTCCGCCCAAGAAATATACTTTGCCGTTTCGGTTTAGGCACCAAGCTCTTGTACCATGAAGTTTCCATTAACCTTTCCAGGCTCAGTCGGGTACTCGGGGTCGGATCGAGAAGCTGTCCGATTATGTCTCTTGCGTGCTTTGACACCCAAGATGGCAATTCATATTGCCGCCGGCACATTTGGTTGTACATGATTGCTTGATTTCTGTAATCGAACGGGAGGGACCCGGTGAGCATGTTGAAGAGGATGACTCCGCAAGACCACGCATCTGCTTTTGTACCACGGTAGGGGCGCCGCATTAGGACCTCCGGGGCAGCAAAAGCAGGGGTCCCGCACGACGTGTGGAGCAACCCGTTTTTGAGCTGCTCTGGAAGAGCAGAGAGTCCGAAATCGGAGACTTTGAGATTTCCATTCTGATCTAGCAGAAGGTTCTGCGGCTTCACATCACGGTGAGCAATCCCATTTTGGTGACAGAAACAAAGAGCAGAGACGAGTTGAGAAAAGTACTTTCCGACGTCGGACACCTTGAGACGGCCGCGTCTGAGGACCTTTTCGAGGTCACCACCGGAGGCGAGTTCCATCACGAGGTAAATCTTGGTCTTCGTCGCCATAACTTCATGAATTTTTAGAACATTAGGGTGGTCCTGAAGGCGACGCATCGCCGCAACCTCCCGGAGAATCCGATCCTCCATGGTGGAATCCACCTTCTTCGATTTTTCTATAATTTTGATAGCCACCTCAGAATCATCCACCAGGGACTTAGCCCGGTATACTTTAGCAAAGCTGCCCCGCCCCAAGAAGCATCCCAACTGGTACTTCCCAAGGAGGATGGTTTTGGAGAGCGGAGGTGGCGGTGGAGGGGGTGGCGGAGCCGCTGAATTCATCTCCTTGGGGATGATTATTGCGAATGTAGGTGCAGCCACAACAACTTTTTTAGGTTGGTCTTGTTTATGTAGTCGGCTGGACCCTGAGTGCTATAGTTCAGGTCGAGTTAGTTCTTGGTTTCCAATGTTGCCCTTTAAACTGTTTTTTAAATCACATATTTTGTTTTTTGTTTTTTTGGTAAAGATACGAGCATCTAATATTAGATTCCCTCTTTTCTAGAATAATTATTGTTGGTTAACTTCTTTTTTTTTTTTTCAAATTAAGAATTTAAGAATTATTTATATTATTTTAAAAACA